TAAAAGTTCCAAAATGCACATTAAAATATTGCCAAAATGTGCAATAAAAAGGGACAAAATACACATTTAAAGAATATGCAAAAATGTGCATTACAAAAAAAAGACTGCACGCTAAAAAAAAAAGCGCCAATAGATGGTTTGTTTAATCTTGGTTTCACTTTTTATGCCCTGTACACACAATAGAATATTGGACGATTGATCATCCATTTTTTTTTTTGCATGCTAGTCTCCATATTGAAAATGAAAAGTGAAGTAATGTATTGTATCTTCAGATGACTACTGTACCGATTAATCAAAAATCGTAAGATTTGGTATCATACAAGAAACATTTTCTTGCTTGTCCCTTAAGATATTGTTGCATGAATTGTCGTGATTGGCTCTTGATATTTTTTTAACATTTTTGTATGATTTTCTTATCATGTGTACGGGGAATTAAACTCCTTGTAATCTCCCAATATCACATCTTTATCCCAATGTAAATGATTGTAGGTTGAGTTATGTTTTTTTTTACCCAATCACTGTTGACTTTGCAGAGTTACAGCGAGAAACGGGTATCTTCCTGTAATTTCTTCTTCATAGGATTTAAAGCATGACTCCACCTTATAAACAGATGAAATGCTTAGAATCATAATTGCCATACTGATCACCAAATATACTAATATCTTATTTGTAGAATGTTTTCATGCTGCAACCCAAATAACAGTATTAACATATTTATCACTGTCAAACATATCTGTCACTTGTCAAAAATCTCTGGAGTCTCACTGATCTCGACAATTTGCCTGTGTTAGACAGATAATTCATTAACAACTATAATAGACATGCTACTCTGCTTTACTGCTTGATAGGCTCTGCAATGACCAAATCCTCCATGCAGAGTTTTCCATTTAACTCTCATTTTGATGTCCATAGGGAATGAGTGTTTGTAATACCTCTGAAACAGAAGCAGATAGGGGAAAAAAAGGATTTTTTTAAAAACATTTTTTTGTCTGTTACCTTTATCTTTTCTCATTATTGTGCCTTTGTAGTTCACCCACTGTCTCATTGTCTTCCCCTTTTCCCCCTGGTCCCTTTTATTGTCCTCCTTATACTTCTCTCTTACCATTTTTTTTTATAAATTCTCTGTTCTTCTCTAATTCATTTGCTTTTTCCCTTTCAGTGTTTTCATTATTTTGCATCTGTGGATAACAAACCTATTACCGACAAAATATCTAAGAAGTGAAAATGTGGTAATGGTAGATAGGACTGGTTATGAGAAGCAACCAAGGGATCTTGTATTAGCAATAGGCAGGTTGAAGAGTTTGATGATTCATAGACCTATTAAAGGAATATCCCATGCATTGTGATTTAGGCTCCAGACATTTATTTTCAAATGGAATAAGTTTAGAATCTGTTTTTTTTTTTTCTTTTTTGCTGTGCCCTTACTGGAGATATTTCCCTTTCCCTCTGTTTGTTCACCAAGCCACACACAAGCAGTAGTAAAAACCTGGCAAAGTTTCAAACCCTTCTCCACTCTACCATAAAAAAGTGTTTCTATTATTGTGTGTGTTGGATAGATTTATCCTCACTTCCTCTCCCATTGATTATACAAGAAGTGATTGGTACCCTTTACACATTACAAACAACAAAAAATTTCCCAGCATAATTACCAGCTAGCCTACAATAAAACCAAAATAGCTCTGTCTAACTGCTCATATTAAAACAGAGGTTTTTGTTGCACACACTTGCAAATATATGTGAAAGTCGCAATGCCTGTCCGAAGGCTCCCCTTAATACTGCAGCCCTAACTCTGTAGTTTTGAGAGTCTCCAAGTTACATACCCTGTCCTAAACAAAGGATTTATGCTGGATTTCAACTGGACTATTTAAACTTGGGAGATCCTGAACATTAAGACTACAACTGCTCACTGTTCTTTCCTGGAATGACTGTCATGTATTTATGTTGCTCTGAAGTTCCAACTTTACTTGCGTGTGTTTTTTCCACCAACCAATAATTTTGAAGCCAGAGACAGAAAAAAAACAGAAATACAGAAATATGCATGAGATCAAAATTGAATAGCTCTGTCTAACACAGTGGTTCTCAACCTTCCTAATGCCGTGACCCTTTAATACAGTCCCTCATGTTATGGTGACCCCCCAACTATAAAATTCTTTACCCAGTAATTATAATTCATGTGTCGTTTTACCTTCAATATGGCTGCTTTCAGCACAGTAGCTGCTTTCAACACAGTAGCTGCTTTCAACACAGCAGCTGCTTTCTACACAGTAGCTGCTCTGTACACATCGGAAATATGTGTTTTCCGATGGTCTTAGGCGACCCCTGTGAAAGGGTCGTTCGACCCCCAAAAGGGTCGCGACTCACAGGTTGAGAACCACTGGTCTAACAGTTCATAGTAAAACAGAAGATTTAGTTGCATACATTTGCAAATATATGTGAAAACCGCAGTGCCTCGCCATGGCTCTTCTGTTTACTGTGGTTCTAACTCTCTAGTTCTGAGAGTCTCCAGGTTGGAGCACATATTCAAATGGATAAATTCAGTTATTTTGGATAGAGTGGAGAGGGATTAGAACCCCTGTCATTTTGTATTGCTGCCTGTGCCCCCATTAAGGAGATTCAGCATCTCTATTTGCCCTGTTTATCATCATCATTATTGAAAGTAAAGGAAAATCCCAAATTTTTGGTTGTTCCGAGAAAAGTAATAGAGGGGAAAGCTTTGAATAGGGACACTAATTCTGGTGATCTGGGGTTTCCCAAGGGATTTCCTTTCACTCCTGTTTGGCTATGGAACTGGAAGTGAAGGGAAATCTCCCCTATAGCAAACAGATGGTGTAAAAAAAATCTGACGGGTTATAACCCTCCCTTGCTTTATCCAAAATGAAAAAAACAAGTTTTTCCTATATAAAATACGTCAAGGCGTGCAGACTCCTCTTTTATAATAAACTTGAATTAAATTTACTACACTATGGGCATTTCCCTTTGCTGCTCTTTGGTGAGCTTTTAAATCACCCAGAGCTCCCCCTGGTGACCATCCCTGTATCCAGAAGAGGCTGCACACAGGTCCTTAAAGGGGACTTCACACCTTTCCTGGGCTGTTTTCCTGCACTACCTTAATGAGGGATTTCGGGCAGACCTCCATTGATTAATACATTGAACATTATCTTTGCGCATCTAGTGAGTGCGCATTTTATCTATTTGTTGCCACTCACATAACTTTTTGCTGATTGATACACTACCGGGAATAACTGTGTCACCTTGGGCCTCAATTATATTTATATCTTTTCTATGGACTCTAATATTTTAGGATTATTATTCATTGATTATTTTAATTGACACATATCAGTATATCATTCATCATATGATTTGTTGTATTATTGTAGTGCTGCACAATTTTATATATGTCTTTTTGAAGGTTTTATGGTTTCCTTTTAGTGTACAGCTGCTTTTTTTGTTATAAGCGCTCGCTGATTCCTCATTTATCCACGTTTTGCCTATAGTTCTACTTTAAGGGCAGGTTTGCCTGGAAGTAGCCCAATCCCTCCTTAAAGGCACAAGGACACATTGGACACCCAGCAAAATCACAATGGCAGGTGAAGTTATCCAATGTGTCCTCACATCAAATTCAGCCCACAAGCTGTACAGATAAGTGGCAACCACTCCAATCTATAACTAGCTTTTACAGTAAGGTGCACATGGAAGGGGCTTTGCAGATCACAGACAAATATTTCCCAGCACACTTACCAGCCAACCTGCAATAAAACCAAAATAGACCTAACAGTTCATGTTAAACCAGAGTTTTTAGTTGCACATATTTGCAGATAACTGTGAAAGCCACAGTCCCTTGCCAAGGTTCCTATGTAAACTGCGGTCCTAAATCTATTGTTTTAACAGTCTCCCAAGTTGCGCACCCTGTCCAAAACAAAGGTTTTTTGAATATCTACTGGACCACTTACACTTGGGAGATCCTAAATATTAAGGCAATTGCTCACCATTCCTTCCTTGACTGGCTGTCATGTATTTAGGCTGCTCTGAAGTTCTGACTCTACTTGCATGTGTTTGTTCCACCAATAATTTTGAAGGCAGAGACAGAAAAAAACAGAAATACAGAAAGGAATGCCAGCCCAAAATTGGATAAAAGAGTGCAAGATAATTTTAACTGTTGATAAAAAAAAGGTCATATAAAAAGCGTGTTTCGGGGGGCATTGCATTGGCTGTTTTTTTATTAATTTTTTTTCCTGCTTGGATCTGGCACTCCTTTTTCTGTATTTCATTTTTTTTCTGTTTTAGCTACTGCTAGGTGCCCATTGAGGGAAGCCTTGTAGTGTGGGATCCATCTTGCTAGAGCTGTTGAGCTTTTTTGAAGTTTTATTTCATCTGACCACACTTGCAAGTCTAAAAGATCCCATCCCATCTTTCAGTATATTGTTCAAGAGACAGAGAGTTGGCAATGGCATATTCCATTTTTAGTTTCCTTTAAAGAGATTCCATCACCTTGCAGAACACAGTGACTTTGCAAAGTTTTCAGCGGACCCCCTGATATTCACCTTGCCAGGGCTCCACCGGGATGGTTACAGCCAGAAACTATACCCTTTGCATCCAGGTAGAGCAGTGCTTCTGGAATTGTGGAGCAAATAACCTCTTCCCATGTAATAGTTCTTGGGTTAGAAACCAATTGCTAGGCCTGAGCTCTGTCACATGACGGAAGGAGTGATGTCACAGCTGCCTGTACCATTGCAAACTGACGGAAGGAGTGATGTCACAGCTGCCTGTACCATTGGAAACTTTATCGTTGCGGCATAGGACGGAACAGGTGAATATCAGTGGGTTGGGGGCCCTTTGCTAAGATTGTCTTTTTGCTCCAAATGGCCAAGGTAGCAGTGTCTCTTTAACATGTAATCTTTGTACTGACCATTAAAAGAATGCATTGCATACACTTTGTGACATTGTTACTGTATTTTCCATTTCCAGAATGTTCATATATATTTTGTACATTTTATCAACAGAATGTCTAACTTTGTGGAAGCTCCAGAGATAGTTAAAAAGCTCTCTTGGGTGGAAAACCATTGGCCTGATGATGCTCTCCTAGCAAAACCAAAAGTGACCAAGTATTGTTTGATATGTGTGAAGGACAGTTACACCGACTTCCACATAGACTCCGGAGGAGCCTCGGCCTGGTATCACGTGCTTAAAGTAAGTCATAATAACTCAGCTTTTCATTTTGTTTTATATTCACAAGTTAGAAAATGAATGAGAAGATATTTTATAAACTCCATTTTTTAGCTACACTGCTTCCACTATACATACAGTAGTTAAATGCATAAGGAAGCACAAGCATGAACTACAGTAAGTGTTCTTTGTATGCCGGGGGCTGCATACTGTAACCCCATTATAATTTTAGAAAAGGAATGTAGTCACAAGCAGCTCATTAATTTATAAATAGAAAGCAGCTCATCCATTCACTACAAGTACATTAAACAAACACATTTACCAGCACTCAACCCTTTCTAGAAAGAAGAGACAACATAGTGAAAACCACTATTCTGATTTGATTATAAATACAAGTTTTGTTTCCTAGATTTGCAAATATATGTGGATGCCAGATGACTGTATCAGGGTGTCTGTAAATGTGGTCATGTTGTGATCCCATATAGTATACTGGGACATACACTCACCAGACACTTTATTAGACCAAGAAAATTTCCCCCACACCATTACACCGCCACCAGCCTGAACCGTTGATACAAGGCAGGATGGATCCATGCTTTCATGTAGTTAATACCAAATTTTGGCCCTACCATTTGAATGCATCAGCAACCAGCCTGCCCATGCTCATCTGACCTCTGACATAAACAAGGCATTTTCATCCACACACCTGCTGCTCACCTGATATTTTCTGTTTTTTCGGACCATTCTCTCTAAACCCTAGAGATGGTTGTGTTTGAAAATCCAAGTAGATCAGCAGTTTTTGAAATAATCAGACCAGCCTGTCTGGCATCAACAACCATGTCATGTTCAAAGTCACTTAAATCCCCTTTCTTCTCCATTCTGATGCTTGGTTTGAACTTCAGCAAATCGTCTTTACCACATCTACATGCCTAAATGCATTGAGTTGCTGCCATGTGATTGGCTGATTAGCCATTTGTGTTACCAAGCAATTGAACATCTGTACCTAATAAAGTGGCAAGTGAGTATATATTGAAATATCCAGAGAGCAGAGCTCATCTGAGATTACCCCATTCCTCCTTGAGCACTCAATGACATATGAAAGTCCCAATCTTAACGATAGTTGTGGGGCTGGTTAAAAAAAAAAACAGCTTCTTATAATTAAACAAAAAAATCTGGTGAACCCATACTTTTAAATTCCCAGTGGGTTATCCAGAAATTCAAATGCTGTCGTCGTGTGTGTGACCTCCCTCATTCCTCCTCTTTTGCAAGATGTATTGAAGGGGATTGGCAGGGACACAGAATTAAGTTTTTAAGGTGATTTTGTTTCACACACAAATTTGCTGATAAAAGCTCTTCCTGTAAAAGAGTAAAATACTTGTCCTGCTGTGTGCTCCACTGTACTCTACTCTGTGTGGGAGAGAAATCCTCTGCTGAATTTCCTTCTACAACTGACCCTTCCGGAATTGTCGATTTCCTATCTCCACCACTGTGCTCAGTGGTTCCTCCCCCTGACCTCCATGTAGTTGCAGGACTAGTCCTAGCAGAATTTAGGGGGTGGGGGATTATTACTAAACTTAGCCTTGTTCAGGGGCAGGAACAGCAGGAGAGTGAGTATTTTTTTTTTTTTCCTTTTTTTTTTTTTTTTTTTTTTTTTAAACTGGTACTTTTTGCTTGAGGGACAGATCACACTATGTGCTGGCCAGAATTTTATTGCATTGTAAAACGCTGGTCGCCGCAAGGACACAGAGAAAACAGTTGTTTTCTGTGTGTCCACTTCACACTGCAACGCAGTCTGGAGCTGCAGTAAAATGCAGACATTCTGTCGCAGCACACGGTACAGAATTGCATGTCACTGTACAGCAGTGCAGCAAATCGCACTATTGTACAGTGACATGGGTGAAGTGTATTTTTGTATACTTCAAATAAAGTTCGGTGTAAAAAAAAAGGACCAGTGTGATACGCTGAATTCACACCACACTTCCCCCTTCTATAGTTGTAACAGACATCTGCCGGACATGTAAAGCGCTGTCTTTTACTCTCCAGCAGCTACTGTTCAGTGTGAACGGACTGTAAATGTTTTACTTATGTGACAGGGTCTCTTTAACCACCTTCCGCCCGCCCTATAGTACAATGACGGGTGCAAGGTGGTTCTCTCGTTCTGATAGGACGTCATAGGACGTCCTACCATTCTCACTGCCCATGCGCGGCGATCACCGGTGCGCTGTGTCCCTCAGACACAGCAGATCACGGAAAGAGCCGAAGATGGCGGCTCGGTCATGTGATCAGCTGTGTCCAATCACAGCTGATCACATGTAAACACGGAAATGCCGGTTATTGCCATTTCTCTCCTCTCGAGCTGTCACGCTGACAGCTCGAGAGGAGAGGAGAGCTGGTAATCGGCTTTCCGCGGAGGGGACATGTACACTGATCATCAAGGCACTGATGATCAGTGTGCCCTGATGATCAGTGTGGCCCCAGAAGTGCCACCTGTCAGTTCTCATCAGTACCACGTGCCAGTGCCACGTGCCAGTGCCCATCAGTGCACATCAATGCCACATATCAGTGCCCATCTGAGTTGCCTTTCAGTGTCACCCATCAGTGCCAGTCAGTGCCAGCTAACAGTGCCAGTCAGTGCCGCCTATCAGTGCCAGTCAGTGCCGCCTATCAGTGCCAGTCAGTGCTGCCTATCAGTGCCATATATCAGTGTCATGTATCAGTGATGCCTCTCAATGCCCATCAGTGCAACCTACCAGTGCCTCCTTGTGTCCATCAGTGCAGCGTATCAGTGCCCATCACTGCAGCCTCATTAGCGCACATCAATGAAGGAGAAAAAAAATCACTTATTTACAAAATTGTATAACAAAAACTAAGAAAAAAACTTTTTTTTCAAAATTTTCAGTGGTTTTTGGTTTGTTTAAGAAAAAATAAAAATCCCAGAGGTGATTAAATACCACTAAAAGAAAGCTCTATCTGTCTCAAAAAAAAAAAAAAATTCATATGGGTACAGTGTTGCATGACCGCGCAATTGTCATTCAAAGTGTGACAGCGCTGAAAGCTGGAAATTGGCCTGGACAGGAAGGGGGTATAAGTGCCCTGTAGGCTAGTGGTTAAAGGAGTAGTTTTAAACAATTTGTATTGTCCTGCATTAATGAGTTATCACAGTCTTGCACTTTATGTAATTATAAAAACACAGCTTTCGATTTCTAATTGCCTGATATATAAAGATGTCTGCTTCCATCCATATGTGATAAAGGCCAGAATGTAAAACAAACACGGCACATTATGTTCTACAATTTCAGGCCTGAATCATTTAATTTTAGGACACACAGTTTGGCGAGGGTTTCTCGACTTCTGTAATTGCTGTATTTAAATATGTGCCAAAGCTTTTATTGAATAGTAGTTTTGCTGTGTTTTTGTTACTAGTGTTGGTTACAAGTTTAGTCTTCATTGCAAAGGGTGTGTGACAGGGTGACAATGCAGGAGAAAAATTAAGAGATGGGGAAAGTCTCACCCTATAACAGGAACCTTCATGGCAGGATCACTAGATGTTATTTTAATGAATGCTCCAGATTTATAAATATATTAAAATCCATCTCTGGGGCAAAACTTAAAAAAAGCATTTGAATACACTTTAAGGGTCAGTAAATGATTTACTTTTTCAGGTTTGATTAATTATTTTTTATATTTGCCAATAATAAGTGTATAACACATGCAATATCATTTCAGCTGAAACTAACAGACCATTCTGTAGATGTATCAGTAGGTTTTAAAATATTTAACATTTTTAAAATTTATTTTATACAAAGTCACTTTACTATTCTTGCATATTTGAATAAAAATGTGTACTTTTAAGTATGCTGATATAATTAACACGTAGATCTAAATGTGATAGATTACAATCTACTTAGTCTTCACTCACATTTATACCCTTTTATTGTGCCTGGGCCACAATCTCACTTCTGGCCTGCTGTAAAACAGTAAAGCCCACCATAGATGTATTGACTCTTGGACGGTTCAGCAAGGACCAGATGAAATTCAATCCATCTATGGGCAGGCTTGTTGTACTGAAGTTGATCCATAGATCGACTTCAGTACAGTCAGCCTGACGGATTTCTTGCATGCGATCACAGCTGGTGGCTATAGCTGACAGCAGTGATCACTGTGTTCTGCCGGCAAGGAAGGCTCCCCACCGGTGGAATACAATAGTGCTGCGAGAGGCATTCCCCCACCAGCACTGACTGTGTTGATGGAGGAATCGAGCACCATGGGTGGAAGGAAAGAAAACTGTATAGTCTATGGGCTGCCTTAGGAAAAGGTCATCATTTTACTTAGATTACATCTGCTATTCAGGCACAAATTATATTAGCTGACTACTAATAAGCACAGGATATAAAAAAGTGTAGATCTTTTTTACGTAAATGTCCTAAATAATAAAGGATAAAAGACTGTTCCTTTTTAACGATACATCAAGACTCTTTGATCTTTTTTTTCAGGGTGAAAAGATATTTTATCTGATAAGACCGACTTCAGCCAACATCTCCCTCTATGAGCGCTGGCAGTCGGCTGCCAATCATTGTGAGATGTTCTTTGCAGATCAGGTGGACAAATGTTACAAATGTACGGTCAAACAAGGACAGACCCTGTTCATTCCATCAGGTAAGACAGTCCTTATCTCTTTTTTTTCTGGCAGCTCTGGTCTAGAGGGAATTTTTGGACAAGATGGAATCTGTATAGCTAATCACTGAAGCAGTGTTGCAGAGAATCTGTGTGCAGTAGTATAGCGATCGTGATCTATAAACCCATAACTGCATCTATGTCATTACTGAGGTTTACGTCATCTAGAGATGTTGCTCACTTGACCGACAAGTGGCAGTCCTGCACACACATTATATACACTGCATTGCCACCTTGGGAAAAGTCGTGCATTTAAACAGGGTTAGATTTGGTTTTGATGATTTGTCTGGGCCATGGCCTACCCCAGGATTGATAAATTTTGCAGTAGTTGCTGGGGAACAACCTCCTTTGCATTGTCTGTTTTGACATGTACTGTCCCATCAGTCATCAAGTGCATACTATCTTATGAAGTGACCTGCCAGGCCTTGGGTTGGCTTGTTAATGATGTGGCTCCTTGTGTCATAGTCATGTTTAACACACCTCTGGATGTTAAAACGGCAAAACAGATCTATGAACACTTTATAAGTATTGTTACTAGGAACCTATTAAAACCTGCAGGACCCTAGGCTTCTGCCTAGGTTTCTCTCTGGATGATCTGGCGTGCACTGGGATCATGTTTCTCTGACTGTTGTTCATACCCAAATACATTTTATAATCTTTTAAAGAAAATCGAAGGCTTATCTTTGGTACATAGTTTTGATTACAAAAAAAAGTAATAAAAATGTAAAAAAAAAAAATGTTTTTTCCTTCTACTTTTAATTAAGAATTATTTTTAATAATGTAACTGTATCTGACAATTATACTATTATGTAACTGGAAATTCCACTGCAGCCTGAAGATGGAAATGTTCATCTGCAATCTGAAGACTTATTTTTTTAATGAGGCATCCAGCATGAAAATGTCATAACTGATAGGGCTCATGTACACTGCAGCTGATAAGCTCACATTTAGGAGCTGTTCAGCGTTTTTTTCAGCAGTCCCTGAATTCTCCCTAATGTTTTCCTATATGTCCATGTACGCATCGTCGTTTACAGTCTTTTACAGGCAGATAAGTTTACAGTTGTTTTTTTGAAGGCAGAAAACTTGCGTTCAGCAGTAGATTTTATCAGCATTTCAAATGCAAAACGCTTCTAAACGTGTCTAAACGCGGCTAATCGCGTTTATAGGTGTTTGCGGTCGAAATTTTTTTTTTAACTCTTCCATTTCCAGATGCTGCCCAGAGCCTTTTTTCATCATGAAAAATGCATGCAAAGCAATTCCCGGTACTCAAATGGACCTGGTACACCATACTTTGAGGTTTTGCATGAAAGAAAATATGTTAGACACTGCTGCAATAATTTCTGCACATAAATGAGCTGGAACACATCTAAACACCACAAAAAAAAGACAGCTAATCACAACAAATACTGCTCTATTTCTCTCAAAATGTCTGAAATAGTTAATTTTTTACTGTTTTTCAGTGCATTCTGGGCATTTTGGAAGGTCTCCTGAGGTTATCTTTAAAAAACGCTTCTAAACGCAAACGCTCATAAACACGCATACACGCGATATGCAAAGGCAGCTAAACAGACGTTTTTTAACCTACATTTTCCAGCAGTCAGTTTCCATCGTTCAGAAGTGACCCGTGTACATGGTGTCTTATAGTGATCAGTTGATTGGGAACTTCTCTGATTGGTTCCTGCTTATCAGTGGGTACCCAAGCTGTCAGTGACAGCTGGTATTGAGAGCCAACAGCAGGGGAATCCTTTTGGGGAACATTGATGAACATATAGTGAGCAGGAAAGAGTTTAGACTGAAAAAAATAAACAGATAGACTATGATTACTTTATAAAGGCTGTTGTGGGGCTTCGCTGACCCCTGCATGTCTTTGACTAGTTTGGCACCCTAGTCATAATTGTTGTTATCTCATACACATGCTAAAACTAATAACAAAGCAAATGAAAAAACAATTCTGTAGAAGAGGAAAACTAAAAGTGTCGGTATAGGTTAAATCTTTAATTTTTTAAACTTTTGCCGGGAAGGCTACAGCTGAATCCACATCTACTGCCATCTTCCACAGTAATGGAGCATAAACCAATACAAATGCAGAGGGGTAGGTCTACTAAAACTGGAGCCCTCAGAATCTGGTGCAGCTGTAGCCAGTTAGCTTCTAACTTCAATTTTGCAATAAAACCTGAAGCTGATTGGTTTCTATGCAAAGTTGCACCAGATTTAGCATTCTCTAGTTTTAGTAAATAAACTTTAGAGTGTTTATTCCTAAGATATTTATCAGCTCTCTCATATATTTCCAGGTTGGATCTACGCAACACTCACACCAATGGATTGCTTAGCATTTTCTGGGCACTTCTTGCACAGCCTCAGCGTGGAAATGCAGATGAGGTAATGGTCTTCCTTTTGTCCTCCATAACCTGACCATTTGTGAGCTTTTGTTCTGAATCTAAGAATGTTTTCCAAAAAAATAAATTTGTAAAGTTGAAGGCTGTCCTTGAGTGTATGGATTGTCCATCACACTTTGCTGGGATCTGCACCTTAACCAACTCTTCTGGTGTGCTTAGAGCTATTGTTGTCTTTGATCCATTAACTAATTTGTAAACTAATTAATGGATCATCTGTGGCCTGATTTACTAAGAAATGTTAAAACAGGACTTGTTACTTTTAAAGGTAGGACTTGTTCATACCAACACAACCCAACACAGAGACAACGCAAAGAACCTTGCTTTGTGTAGAACCTGTTGGTGTGAATTGCAATGAAACATTACAGGCATACATTTTATTTCAGAGTATTACAATGCACAGCAATCTGTCGTAACGTAATGCTGCACATAGTATTACATCAGGTGCACATTAAAGAAAGTTGGGAAAAAAAAACAAGCATTTAGTTTGTAGCCTTCATATGGTTCTTTCAGAGCAATAGGATATCTTTGGGAGCAGCTCATTAATGCATAACTGGCTAGGGAGGTGCATGTGGGAGAGACGGTTCAGTGAAAGTGCACAAAACTGAATTCTTAGGACTCATCCATTCGAGCTGCTAAAAGGGAGATGAATTTAAAGTTCGTTCAAATATTTTGATAAAAACAGAGGTGCGAATTGAACACTTTTGCAAACACATGTTGAAGCATTGCACTGCTATCATAATGTTGGAATAATAATTCATAGTTATTCCTTAAAGTGGTTGTAGAAGGTTTTTCTTTTTTTTTACCTTTTTTTTCCTGCATTAAGATAAAACACCTTCTCTGAATAGGATCCCCAGCCCCTAAATTCTTACCTGAGCCTAATCTCTATCCTCTCTCTCTCCTCATGGACATGGAGGCAGCAGCAGAAACTATTGGCTCTCGCTGCTGTCAATCACAGCAGGTGAGGAGAGAGTGGATACACAGACCACAGCTCGGGATCGAGCCCATACGAGTACCCCCATAGCAAACATTTTGCTATGGGGGCACACGGCAGGAGCCAGGAGCGCTGGTGGGGGATCCCAAAAAGAGGATGGTCAGGACTGCTCTGTGAAAAACCATTGTACAAAGCAGGTAAGTATGATGTGTTTATTATTATTAAAAAAAAAAGATTTAACATTTACAATCACTTAAATTAGTCTATGAAAAAACATGGTTAATATATAGACATTTGAAAAAATAAAATACAGCGTACAACTATGCTCCGTGCTTCCCCATGCTGGCAGTCCCATTCATGTCTATTGGGATGCAGCGGCTACTCGGACACAGCCACTGCTCTCAATTTGACATCTGGGTGGGTGCGGGCATAGGGCCCCAAACACACACTGCATTCTGGGCTGTGCACCCGCACCTATATAGATGTCAAAATGGAAGCAGCATCTGCCAGTGCAGCCACTGTGTGCCAAATTACATGAATGGGACTACCAGAATGAGGATGCACTGAACACCTGTGCATGTAACCACGGACCCCACACGGATGTAGTAGGCCCATGTGAACAATGTGACTAACATTGTTGTCTGCCAGCTTGATTAACAGTCTCTGGACTGGCCCGCAACATGTGCGGCGCATATCAGTAATAGGACACATTTGCCACTTACTGCTACACGTAGTACCACCACGCTAGCATCCCCTTTTATACCCGGAAAAGCCCCGGTTTGATTTGAGCGCCCCTTGTATTATCAAGCATGCATTTTCCATGCTTGAACGCCCCTTCTACAGTAGTCCCTGTTGTTTTCCATGTCCTTGTCGTGAACTTTTTTGCAGGGAAAAGCAAAAGGTTTGCATTAATGCCTTCCTTCCCTGAAGCTCTATTCAACCATCAGGAATAGTGCTCTGGCTAGAGCTACTTACCTTGTACAGGACTTTCCTCTCTCACCCATGTAAGTGAAGAGGAAATGAATTGCAGACAAGTATGTGCTGCCAGGGATAGAGGCGTTAAACTAAATCTGTTACTTTATCCTGCATGGGCTATGTACAGGTTCACCTGTCAGTAGGGAATATATGGTCTGTCCTTTCTACTTGTGTGGCTTTATCTGACTTTAACCCCCTTCTTTCCCACACAGCCATCCCTTTAACCGCCTCCCGCCTGCCATATAAAGTAATGACTGGCGCAAGGCGGTTCTGTCGTTCTGGGAGGATGTCATATGATCAGTAAGCCCTGATGATCAATGTAGCCCCAGCAGTGCCACCTGTCAGTGTCCATCAATGCCAGCTGTCTGTGCTCATCAATGCCACCTGCCAGTGCCACATCAATGCCGCATATCAGTGCCTACCAGTGCACATCAATGCCACATATCAGTGCCCATCTGAGCTGCCTTTCAGTGTCACCTATCAGTGCCAGTCAGTGTCACCTATCAATGCCAGTCAGTGCCACCTATCAGAGCTGCCAAGCAGTGCCGCCTATCAGTGCCAGTCAGTGCAGCCTATCAGTGCCAGTCAGTGCCTCCTATCAGTGCCAATCAGTGTTTTGGGCTGTCCCCAATAAAGTAATAGAGGGGAAATTTTCCAATGGGGACACTAGTTCTGGTGATTTCTTCTCACTTCCTGTTGGGCTTTGGGACAGGAAGTGAAGGGAAATCTCCGCAATGGGACACAGATGGCGAAAAAAATCTGACGGGTTATGACCCTCCCTTACTCTATCTTAAGTGAAAAAAAGTGTACCCAATAGTTCTACTTTATAATGCACCTTTGCTCAGAATATGGACAATAACATTTTCACTGTGACAAGCAGTAAAGGATCTTTGAAAAAATGTATCCTCAAAGGTTACAGCAAAGGCCCAATTCAATTTCAATCAGTTTCTAGCAGCTTGCTTTGTCTGGTGTTTGTTTAACAATAGAGGACATGCTGCCTTAGAAAACAGAAGGAGAAGAAATGTGAAATCTCTGTGTTTTGACATTTGAAGATTAATTTCTCCATAATTCGTACAGCTACAGCGGTGAATAAGTGTTTTTTTTTCAACGACTTGTATTGTTTTTTTCAGAATATTTAAGTACTTTAATGTGCATAGCCTGGGCACAGGTTCCCTTTAAATCATCTCTGCTTATATCATGTAATTACAGTAGGGAACATCATTAGCACATCGAGCTTTGCCATCCTGCCATTAATGTGTATTAATTACTTGTGTCTTAATCATTGAATCTACAGAGCATATGAAGTTGAAAAAAGATTAAAGATCGTCAGCCTCACCCAGTTCCCAAATTATGAGACAGCGTGTTGGTACGTGGGAAGACACCTTCTTGAGAAGTTCAAAGGTACTTTACATTTTACATCTACAAGTTTCCCTGAGCTTTATTTTAGAGTGCCCAAAGCCCTTTTTTGTGCCACTGTCCTCCTATTGCTCCATGCATGTTGTATATGTCTGTTGCCTGCTGCAGCCAAACATTTTTTCACTTTGCTTATGGATAGGTCATGAAAGGGCTAGAACCTGTGACTGGCTTTTCTTGCTGTTTTTTTCCATTTTGGAAAATTTCCTCTTTCTTCTTGACTCAGTGATACTGTTTTTAGCAGGGGGGGGGGGGGGGCAAATAAAACTTCAGTGTGGTATTTATTCATTGGGTATAGTATTCTCATAATCCAACGCAAATCAAGACACTCTTCAGGCACTGCTCTTTACAGATATTGAAGCTGTTCAACCTTGAGGATGTCTGATGATTCTTTGGTATCTGACAGAGGCAGTAATATAATCTATGGGTATTTATCCTTGCAATTTGCTGCACTTCTTTGGGGCACATCTTTGGGCTTTCATATCTTACCCAGGCTACCACCTTTTTATGGTTGAACAACTTCAATATCTGCGAAGAGTGGTGCCTGTGATCCTGTCAAGCAAGATGTCCCCGGACCTGTTACATGGTAGTGAGTTGGTTGTTCCCCTAGTGATCCCTTGGGTTCTTCGGTACCCCTCTCTGTTTTCCTGAAGAAGAGAGTGTCTTGAAATGCAGAACAACATGCAATCACATCACATGTTATCACTTGTCATTTTAACATTTGTCTATGTCATTTTTAATAGTTGTGCTATAATATGTGACAATAAAAATGGTATTTTTTTGCGAATTAACAGTCTGGACGCCTGTAAAATCCCAATCCGCATATATTTTTTCTTTTTTACATTGATTTGAAGGGATGATAGTATTCCTGGGGATGTGAAAACAATCAACTCTTGTTGTACACGTATTGAGTTGATTTTACTGTAATTGTTGTGATTGGTGTTGGCAACCCAGCAAAAAGGGCACACTCAAACTTGGCTCTTATCAAAAACTGGAAGTGATATCACATTCTGCTCTGCCAGGACACTTTCATCCTTGGCGCCATGAGGTCGTCTAGCCTGTCAGAGTTTGGACTTGCATCCAGGTTTGGGGACTTATGAGGAGCGGAAAAGATTTAAAAGAAAGCAATTTATCTGCGGTTTGTTCATATGTACTGTACATATATGCATAAATATGGAATCCTTAATTGAAAATCTTGCATTGTAGTACCATTAGCAGGATTGGCCCATTATTGTCACATGATGGCTGGGAGGGAGTCTCCAGCTCAGTGCAAGTTCTGACTAGAGCTCCGACTTGAGCTTGCATAGGGCTGTCTTCCTTTACTCCTAGTAGTTGAATATAGTGGCAAAAGATAGGTGAGTATATGCTGCTAGGGAACGGCCATACTCTGCTAAGGAACAGCCATACCCTGAGAAACTGCTTAAGGCGACGATAATTATAGCTTTCCCATAGACACAAATTGGGACAGCAGCACAATATGAACTGGCCATTTTCCGAAAAAAGACTGCAGCTCCAAGAAGAACCATATGGTGAAGATTGCTATATTGCGATTGAAGGTAAATTTTTCATCTAATGGGAAAATCTCAGGTGGGTATGGGAAACGTATAACAGAAAAACTGTACAAACATATAGTTGTCCTTTAAAGCAAACTAGTTGCCGTCACCCTACATAGGCAAAGCACAGGTTCTCTTTAGACCACCTTGAACTGCTGTAGATGGTGGCATATGGACTCATAGACTCCTTGGTGTGCTCCATATATTTGTGTCCCCCAGGACTCTGAACCATGCAATAAAGCCAGACTTTACTAAGAGACCAAAAACATTTTTTGGCTAACATTCTTTGCACAGACACAGTGACATATATTTGTTATAAATACAAAATAATGTGCACTTTAGAGGAAAAGCTAACTATGTGTGTCAACAGCCCATTTGGAACTTTTTTTGCCAGTGCACATTTTTACACTGTATTTAAATTTGTATCTGAAATGTTGTGCGAGGTTTTTCATCACAAATAGGATGTGCAAGTAGGTCATAAGTAAAGAGTGTTTTTTCCTCTTTAAAAAAAAATAAATCCTTATTTGTTAGGTTGAGAGTTGCCATAAAGATGAGTTTCCAAAGCAAACAGTATGTGGCCTCTTATTCTTTTTTAAATATAAAAAAAAAAAACACTGGAAAAAAGGGAAAATGGAACAGCTATAGGCAAAAGCTTTTAATGGAAAGCTTTTTAATAAGAACTAAACGGATTTCTTACCTCTCAAGGTCTAGCAAAGTCAAACCATTGTTTTGTCCTTCAACGTGTTTGCCTGTAATGGTTTTGCCATTTCTGTTTTTTTTTCTCTGCCCACTATGAGGTTCAGCACCAGAAACAACAAGAAGAGTTTAGACAATGGGATCAAATAATATAATGCACATAGGTCTTTGGTTTTAATGGAGTTTATTACACCTTGCACAACGTTTCTCTATGTCATGTTAGTACTTATATGCTATTTCAGTTTATGTAAAATGTCTTTTTGTATTTTTAGGAATAAAATAACATGTAAAAATAAACAATAATAAAAACAACTAAAAATACTGGCAGAATAAAAAAAATACAGTTTCCTGCCAATAAAGGATAAGTTCACCTTTTGCCCAAAAATGATAAATGCACATTTTTTTTGCAGGTAAATAAAGAGGCATTTTATTATTTTTGTTTGCAGAAGCCTGTAGAGCATTGCACCAGCGATCAGCAGATCACTGGCGCCATGCAGGTCTCCTGCAGACCTGTTAGTATATCTGCTTGCCCATACAGGATGTACGGGCAAGCAGAGAAATTGACAGGAAGATTCAATGAACTACCACAATTCTTCACACTGCCGTGGTAGTTCATTGAGAACTACAGGCTGTCAGGACTTGTAGTTCATTCATTCACAGAACACTATGAATGAATGGCGTGGCTGTGTGGGCAGTGCTGTTAAAAAGTGACAGCTAATACAGAGAACTTCTCCATGTACTTCTGGGAAAGGGGGGGGGGATCAGGTGGTGGCTGCAGCATTGGGAACATGTTACATGTTCCACCCTAAAAATGGGAGGAACGTCTAACAGGTTCCCAAAGGTGAACTTATCCTTTAAATTTAAACATACAGTGTGTACCACAGTCACAAAACAACCAATTCATGCAGTTTTTTCTAAATGAAATGCTTGTTTGTGAAACAGGACTATTTATTTTTCATGACAGCGCAGGGGGCACAAATATATTGGTTACCTTTTGAAATGTTGGAATATTGTGATTTACAGTATCTTTACCATCTGCCTTTTGTTGGAGACCATGCTTGACTGAATGGATTAGTCACTGGTCCTGGGTGAGTATTTGTGTGGGCAGATAGGAAAGAATGCCTTCTGCTGGACAGCGCCCGGTGGTGGATGGCGGGGATGGGCCCTCTTGGGGGTTAGGCTGCTACCTTTTCTGTGCAACCTTACAGTCATTGCTGCATGTAAAAAGGAAGGAGCGCTCGGTGTCCAGAGAAGTACAACTTCTAAAGTATGGGTCATAGACATTTAATAAAAATTAGTAACATGTACATTAAGTCAAAATTTTTCAGAGGCATAGACTCCCCCGTTATTAGGGCTAGCAAACAAAACAAAGGATGGATAGAAGTTACATATAGCAATATATATAGGCTGTTTAAAAAAAATGAAACAAACACTTTTTAATCAGAGTATATCATCAAGTCATTTAAACTCCTGAGATATTGATCTGGTCAGTTAAGTAGCAGAGGAGGTTGTTAATCAGTTTCAGCTGATTTGGTGTTTGAAATTAACAGCAGGTGCACTAGATGGGCAACAATGAGATGACCCCCAAAACAGGAATGGTTTTACAGGTGGAGGCCACTGACATTTTTTTCCCTACTCATCTTTTCTGACTGTTTTTCACTAGTTTTGCATTTGGCTAGGGTCAGTGTCACTAGTGGTAGCATGAGGCGGTTCCTAGACCCTACAGAGGTTGGACAGCCAGTCCAACTCCTCAAGGATGACACATCAATACTTGCCATTGACAGAAGGTTTGCTGTGTCTCCCAGCACAGTCTCAAGAGCATGGAGGAGATTACAGGAGACAGGAAGTTACCTTAGGAGAGCTGGACAGAGCCGTAGAAGGTCCTTGACCCATCAGCAGAACTGGTATCTGCTCCTCTGTGCAAGGAGAAACAGGATGAGCACTGCCGGAGCCCTACAAAATGACCTCCAGAAGACCAAACAATCAGAAACAGACTTCATGAGGGTGGCCTGAGGGCCCGACATCCTCTAGTGGGCCCTGTGCTGACTGCCGGGCACCATAGAGCTCGATTGGCATTTGCCATTGAACACCAGAATTGGCAGGTCCACCACTGCCGCCCTGTGCTTTTCACAGATGAGAGCAGGTTCACCCTGAGCACGTGACAGATGTGAAAGGGTCTGGAGAAGCCGTGGAGAATGTTATGGTGCCTAACACATTGTTCAGCATGACTGTTTTGGTGGTGGGTCTGTGATGGTCTGGGGAAGCATATCCATGGAGGAACGCACAGACCTCTACAGGCTAGACAGTGGCATCCTGACTGCCATGGTCGACACCAAACACCACATTTTTTTTTGCTTACAAACGATTTTATTTTTCAAGAAATAGACTGTAAAATGACATTACAGCATCAAACCGTGTGTAAAACAGCAACAAGGCACAATGGAATTGTACATTTCAAAAAGGCACAATCATATAGAGTAAAGAAAAAGTGAAGAGAAAAGAAGAAGAGAGAATAGAGTTTAAGTACATGAGCAATATAAATAAAGAGGTAGGCAGAGTTATACATCCACCAACAGAGCAAGTCCATCTACCCAAACATGGAATGCCCTTAGTCATGTAGTAAATGTCTATGAGTTTTCCAAATTTCCCATTTTCCATCAAAGGAGTGCATCTTGTCCAGTAAAGTATAGTGAATTCTTTCCATGAGCATCACAGCATCAACTCTATGTAGAACAGAGGCCAATGGTACTGTGATAGATTTCCAGTGTAGGGCGATAGCCCACAGGGTGGATATACAAATAGTATGGATTAGCCTCATAACCTCAGTCTGAACCCCCGGGATACGAGCTCCCAATAGGCAGGACTACATAGTCAGATATATCAGGGCACCCACAAGTGCAGAAGCTACCTCAGAGATCTTGCGCCAAACCAAGGAGAGGATTGGGCAAGCCCAGAATGTATGCACCAGAGTACCGGTAAGGCCACAGCCCTGGAAGCATAGGTGGGATGTCCGTGGATACAGGGTGTGTAGTCTAGATGGGGTATAATACCATCTGGTTAATACCTTGAGGGCTGTCTCACGGACAGAGAGAGAACTAGAGCTCATACGTATGTTATCCACCATGGAATCCCAATCCTCATCCGAAAAGGTGATACCACTATCAGCTTCCCATTTTTGTCTATATAGAGGGGGTGTGGGAAAGTAACTAACCAGGAATTGGTGATACAAATCAGAGATAAGACCCTTGCCCCTAGGAGAGTCACGGCTAATGCGTTTGAAGAACAAAATCGGAGATGAAGGTATAAGGCCAAAATGTGAACTATAAAAATGTCTAATCTGTCAATAACGACAGTACTCACGAAGTGGAATATCAAAAAGTATGTGCAGCATCTCAAAGGTGATATAAGATCCTCCTCTTTGAAAGTCAGATAACCTGATAAAGTACCACCAACGGAACACCTGTGGAGAGGAAAATGGCGTAATAAACTGTGGTTCAGCAAAAAATGATGCACCTGGGGAGACAGAGGAGACCAAATTTAATTTAAGTTTATATCGGCACCGAAGCATCAACGATTGGGCAACAATGGAATTATGAATACTTAACGAGCAGGGGGTGGGGGTGGGGGGATTTGGCCAAACACCAAATTTAACACACCTGCTCCCCATTCACACCTGAGACCTTGTAACACTAACGAGTCACATGACACAGAGAGGGAGAATGGCTAATTGGGCCCAATTTGGACATTTTCACTTAGGAGTGTACTCACTTTTGTTGCCAACAGTTTAGATATTAATGGCTGTGTGTGTTGAGTTATTTTGAGGGGACAGCAAATTTACATGTTATACAAGCTGTACACTCACTACGTCACATTGTAGCAAAGTGTAATTTCTTCAGTGTTGTCACATGAAAAGATATAATAAAATATTTACAAAAATATGAGGGGTGTACTCACTATTGTGAGATACTGTACACACGCACACACACACACTGTTTAGCAAAAATAAATAAGTACACCCCAATAGATTTGTTAGAAAACCTTTCCTTTCCTTTCAGAATCAACATTTTCTATGACACTATACTACAAAATAATGTGGGCCATTGATTGCAAACAAGATTTGGTAATTTGCACACACAAAAAATTAATTTTCCTAATAAATTCATTCAAGACCATATATATATATATATACGCTATAAAATGAAAAAAGATAATAGAAACATGTATAAATAATACTATATAAATATAGCCACATTTCATGAATATAAATATCCCTTTTTGTACTGTCTTTTCAGACAGCAAAGACACAGACAGCAAAAAATAAAAAATTACAGGCAATGTAACCACTCCTCACCCTATCCAAAACAAAACAAAAAACCTGTCTTGGCAATATATGCTCTTAAAACATAAAATGTTTATGTTATTTTGCTGCAATTACTGTTTGTCACCAAAGCTGACACCTTGTCAAAGTGAGATTGCATTGTATTTAAAGTATATGTGAACCTTCTCCTTGTAAAACAATCCATTCAGTTTAGGATAGAAATGAAAGGTAAAACACTTGTTTATAGATATAAAAAAAAACCATTGTAAATACCCCCCCCTTTTTTTAATAAGTGATCACATACCCTCTCTTCTCAGCTACATAAGGAGCTGGAAGAGGAGAAACAGCAGTATACCTACCTTCCCAATGAATGGATGTTTGGGGGAGGGGGTGGAGGTGGAGAGCTTGTTAACATATGTCTGATCATTGGAGGAGAGCATATTGTCTTCCCAGCACAGCTAGAGAGCCGTCCTTGCTGCGCTCTCATGCCTAGTGTTGTCAGTTTTTAATAGGAAAGCATAGGGATGGGAAATTCACACAAAGGAAGCAATACAAAGAGAGCCAGATACTTTACCGTACAAGTACATGGTACAGCAGGCACTTATGGAATGTTTGGGTTACATATTCTTTAATTCCAGAATAAAAGGGCTCATAATAAAATAGACTTCAATGTATGACTTCCATGTTGGCAAAGAAGAAGCTATTGTATTAATTATGAGTATTTTTTTACTTTAGTATTACACAAGGCGGGGAAGCAGCCAGTACCGCATCTTGTCCTAGGGGCCAAAATACTGAATGGAGCCTTTAGATCATGGACAAAAAAACATGTAAGGATCTGAGTTATTGGTAATTTCAATTGCTATGGTATTGCATGCATGCATTTGAACTTCATTATATTGGAAGGACTTTGCACACTGCACCTGCATTAGTTGTTTGTGTTTTTGTACCCAACATTTTTGCTGTGTGTTACTGAAGTAGAACTTTAGGCAAACAGCCAATTTCAGAGTTCATACCTGTGAAAAATTTTACAGCCATAATGTTGGGCAAAATGTTATAACCCATAGCAACCTAATTTCAGGTGTCTTCAGTCCAGGATAGTCAGAACCATGAAATAGCATTGCTGGGTAGGTGCTATTCTTTACTGCACTGTGCTTGTGTAAAATGTGTGACAATCTAATACCCGGGATGGTTGCAGCATAGCACTATGGTGGTGAGTCACACAGCCATTCGCACTCGAGCATGCTTTGACATGTTCTAACTTTTCACTCGCCGGGGTCGCAGACCAGTTGACCCAGCCTTTACGGAGTAGCAGAAGACATAACACGTATGTGGGTTGCACTGTTGGGAATTTGACAGGACAGGAAAGTGACAGGAATTTGGAGCAGCGGATTAACATCAAATTTTCTGTGAATATTGGCAAAAGTGCAAGTGAAACTTCAGCAATATTACAGCAGGCTTATGGTGACATCCCATAAAGAAATGTGTTTGAATGGCATAGGCGATTGTAGGAGGGGTGGGAAGATGTCCTCGATGGTGTAAGAAGTAGGCAACCAAAAATGCAAAGAACGAATGCAAATGTGGACAGAGTGTGAACCCTCCTGTGCTCAGATTGAAAATTGAGTATGCGAATAGTGGCAGAAGAATTGCAATGAACAGGGAAACAGTGCGGCAGATTCTAATGGAGGATTTGGAAATTAGAAAGATTTCCGCAAAGATGGTGCCTCGAATCGTGAAAGAACGCCATCTTCAAATTTCATCTGATCTTTTGAAGAATGCAGAGGTGTTTGATAATCTTTATTTTACACTCCATTCTGGGATTTAAATTGTTGCACCTCATAGTTTACATGATAGAAAGCTATTTTATCCAGATGCTTAGCGATCAATTGCTAGTGATATTTTTAGTGCAATTTAGCTAAGGAAAAACCTGTGTAGCTCCAGCTTTAATTATAAGTTTTGTTCACCTCTGTTCTTAAGCTGTATACTCTTTGTTTTTTAGAGAAACTTAAAATGTTTCCATTGGTTTTCCTAGGCTCTCCTAGAACATGAAGATGAACTTCCTGAACATTTCAAGCCATCACAGCTTATCAAGGATCTCGCCAAAGAAATACGGTTAACAGAGGTGGGCTTTTTCTGTCGTATTTATAGTGTACTTTGTGTACACTAGGTAAAGTAACAGGTTCATTTTATGATATGAAGTATAGGGTACTTACAGTGGAACAAAACTGGGGATAATATTATCCTTTTGGCTCATCCTCAGCTCCACCATCTTTACATATCTGGTGCGTACACACATGTGTAACAGGTCTCTGCCAAGTCTTTAGAACCTGGCAGAGACCTGCAACACATTTGTGCATTTGCAGACATTTCTGTGTATGCACAGTTAAGCCGCCAGGGTTCTGACATCAAACTTTATGGGGTTCTGTGGCTTAGACATGTGCCATACATTTTACATGTTTTGTTTTTGTTTTTTTTTAAACCCAGAATGCATCAAAAGTCACCAAGACAGATATTAGTGCCAACACCATCCCAGAAAGTAACAATATTGTGGAGAAAATCGAGAAAGAACCGAAAGAAGAGCCTCCCTCGCCAGTGCCAGAAAGTCCACCACCTACGGAAAAACTTACGAAAAAAAAGACCAATAAGAGTGAAAAACTGTCCAAACCCCCCAAACCTCCGAAACCCCCTAAACCCCCCAAAGAGGCGAAACCTGTCAAAAGTGCCAAACCGCCCAAAACTCCAAAACCACCTAAACCTCCCAAACCTTCTAAAAATAAGGAAGGAGGCAAAAAGAAGGCAAAGAAGATGAAAGACTCACCACAATCACTACCTACCACTCCAGACCTCGATGTTCTCGAGGCTCACACTAAGGATGCATTGATTAAAGTTGACACACCAAAGAAAGGTAACGGTGAGTACATATAATTTAATTCTTTGATAGAAGTTTTAGTGTATTTGGAGCTATCATATTTAAAGTACACATGCCATGGAGAAGTATGGAGGCTGTCATTGACGATGCCCTTCTGAAAATGAAAGTCAAAGAAATTCAGAATTCTTTATATCTGTACATGACTTTAAAAATATTAAAACCAGAGCAGTAATCACAGACTATATAATGTCCTTTATAGTCCAAATGAAGGGTGCCCTATAGAGACCTGAGAAATGTTAGAGTCTTTTTGGACCATATTAATACACTTTACATGAACTTCAACATTTGTATGGTGCTCCTATTTCTGCACATTTGAGATGTTGTTTCAAGAGCCCTTAATGGTTTGGCATACCAGAGAGTAGCCTGCAAATTACATGAGAAAGCAGAAGATATACCAGACCAAGACACTCTATATTGCCAAAAGTATTGAAATGCCTGCCTTTACACGCACATTAGCTTTAATGGCATCCCAGTCTTAGTTTGTGGGGTTCAATATTGAGTTAGCCCACCCTTTGCAGCTATAAGAGCTTCAACTCTTCTGGGAAGGCTGTCCACAAGGTTTAGGAGTGTGTCTATGGGAATGTTTGACCATTCTTCCAGAAGCGCATTTGTGAGGTCAGGCATTGGTGTCGGACAAGAAGGCCTGTGCTCTAATTCATCCCAAAGGTATTCTATCAGGTTGAGGTCAGGACTCTGTGCAGGCCAGTCATGTTCCTCCACCCCAAACTCGCTCATCCATGTCTTTATGGACCTTGCTTTGTGTACTGGTGCGCAGTCATGTTGGAACAGGAAGGGGCCATCCCCAAACTGTTCCCACAAAGTTGGGAGCATGAAGTTGTCCAAAATGTCTTGGTATGCTGACGCCTTAAGAGTTCCCTTCACTGGAACTAAGGGGCCAAGCCCAACCCCTGAAAATCAACCCCACACCATAACCCCCCCTCCACCAAACTTTACACTTGGCACAATGCAGTACCGTTCTTCTGGCAACTACCAAACCCAGACACGCCCAAAGAATTGCCAGACAGAGAAGCATGATTCATCACTCCAGAGAACACATCTCCACTGCTCTAGAGTCCAGCGGCGATGTGCTTTACACCACTACATCCAACGCTTTGTAAGGCTTGGATGCAGCTGTCCGGCCATGGAAACCCATTCCTTGAAGCTCTCTACGCACTGTTGTTGTGCTAATCTGAAGGCCACATGAAGTTTGGAGGTCTTTAGTTATTGACTCTGCAGACAGTTGGCGACTTCTGCGCACTGTGCACTTCAGCATGCGCTGACCCTGCTCTGTTGTTCCCAGTTGCTTCCACTTTTCCACTAATACCACAAACAGTTGATCGTGGAATATTTAGTAGCAAAGAAATTCCACGGGTGGACTTATTGCACAGGTGACAACCTATCACAGTACCACGCTTGAATTCACTGAGCTCCTGAGAGCGACTCATTCTATCACAAATGTTTGTAGAAGCAGTCTGCATGCCTAGGTGCTTGACTTTATACACCTGTGGCCATGGAGGCAATTGGAACACCTGAATCCAATAATTTGGAGGGGTGTCCCTACACTTTTGGCAATATAATGTTTATGTATATATGTATGTACAGATTTTTTTTTCTTTATTGTTATTATTATTATTTAATTTAAAAATGTTTTGAACAAAAAGGATTGTTGCTTTTCTGATGCCACAGTAAATATAAATAGTGTTTAATGCTTTATAAAAATTCTTTATATTACATAGAGCCTATAGGATCTCAGCTTTCTTACACAGGATAGAAACCAGGGAAACCCCTTGCTGTGACAAATGCAGTTTAGATCATAGAGACCTTATGCAACTCCTGTGGAGATGTCCTAAACTTATAAGATACTGGGATATGTTGGTTTCTAAGATCAAAAAATACTTTTGGTATACACATTAGCAATTCCCCAGTCACCTGTATATTTGGGTGCTTTAAATATGCTAGTTTTGGCTTGAACACCATGTTAGATGAGTGGATTGCAGAATTCAAGAAGCTTACTGCATATGAAAAAACTATATATGAACTTGAGAAGTTACACAAAAGAACACATTATTATGGGCTAGGTGGTTGGATGCTGCCTTTTGGGCATAGTGATAGTCTATGACATATTGCTTGAGGTGTCAATCAACCGAAGCGCTGACTTGTTGTTGAGACTATCAACCAGAGCTATGACTTGTTAAGAGTACAAATAGTGTAGATGGGTGTAGCGTTGTAGGTATAACTGGATGCCCTGTGGTTGGTACTTGCTGCATTGTTATTTGCCTCTGTACCTAAAAATATGTAAAATAAAATCCTATTAAAAAATAAAATCTCATGAAAACAAACAAACATTTATATATATATATATATATATATATATATATACACACAGTTGTGTTCAAAATAATAGCAGTCAGACATCACTAACCTGATCAATCACTGTTTTTGGTAGAAATGATATTTCTACATGGGAAATAATTTACTAGCAGGTGTAGTAGAGTAATAGAAATCCAACAGACCCAACAGTCATGACATGCATGCTGCTGATTCTGTGTAATTGAATCACTAATTGAAAGGGGCATGTCAAAATAATAGCAGTGTGGAGTTCTATTAGTGAGGTAATTCATTCTTTGAAAAACTGGTGGCAATTATTGCCCTTATTTAAGGAAGGAAGGCAGCAAATGTTGTACATGCTGGTTACAGTGCATTTCTCTCTGAAATTCTGAGGAAAATGGGTCGTTCCAGACATTGTTCAGAAGAACAACGTACCTTGATTAAAAAGTTGATTGGAGAGGGGAAAACATATAAAGAAGTGCAGAAAATGATAGGCTGCTCAGCTAAACTGATCACAAATGCTTTAAAATGGCAACCAAACCCTGAAAGACGTGGAAGAAAGCGAAAAACTACCATTCGAATGGATAGAAGAATAGCCAAAATGGCAAGGACTCAACAATCAGCTCCAGGAAGATCAAAGAAGGTGTAAAGTTACCTGTGAGTACTGTTACAATTAGAAGACGCCTATGTGAAGCCAAGCTATCTGCAAGAAGACCCCGCAAAGTCCCACTGTTGAAAAAAAGACATGTGCTCAAGAGGTTACAATTTGCCAAAGAGCACATTGACTGGCCTAAAGAGAAATGGCGCAACATTTTGTGGACTGATGAAAGTAAGATTGTTCTTTTTGGGTCTAGTGGCCGGAGACAGTTTGTCAGACGACCCCCAAACACTGAATTCAAGCCACAGTACACAGTGAAGACAGTGAAGCATGGTTGCACAAGCATCATGATATGGGGATATTTCTCATACTACGGTGTTGGGCCTATTTATCACATACCAGGGATCATGGATGAGTTTGAATACATCAGAATACTTGAAGAGGTCATGCTGCCTTATGCTGAAGCGGAAATGCCCTTGAATTGGGTGTTCCAACAAGACAACGACCTCAAACACACCAGTAAACGTGCAACATTTTGGTTCCAGACCAACAAGATTGACGTTATGGAGTGGCCAGCCCAATCCCCGGATCTTAATCCAATAGAAAACTTGTGGGGTGACATCAAAAATGCAGTTTCTGAGGCAAAACCAAGAAATAGAGAAGAACTGTGGAATGTAGTCCAATCATCCTGGGCTGGAATACCTGTTCACAGGTGCCAGAAGTTGGGTGACCCCATGCAACACAGATGTACAGCAGTTCTCAGAAACAGTGCTTATACAACTAAATATTAATTAAGGGATTCAAAGGAAAGCAAAATCTTCAAACATTTTTCAGTTTATATAGTGAATGTCTGAGTTTGTAAAGAAGAATACAAACACTGCTATTTTTTTGAACAGTCTAATATTTACTTTTCTTCAATTTTTTTTAGAGGAACAACACAAATTTTATTTATTTTTCTTCATGTTTTGATTTGGAATAGAATGTGTCGTGTTCCCAATGCATTTGTGTGTATGGAAATAAAAGCTATTAGAAGGATTTTGAGCTTTATTCACTTTTTTCAACACACTGCTATTATTTTGAACACAACTGTATATATAACACACACACATCACACACACTATGGCTCTAAAGCCAAAACTTTTTTACCCTAACGCATTCCCTGCTTTAAGGTAAATATCTTTTATGGCTTTCTGCCTTCTCAGCTTGAAGGGCAAAAAGGGTAAAAGAGATCCAGCACTGTGCATGGCTGCATCTCTTCTGTCTTTTCCTCTCCACACAGGACTCAAGCAGCAGCAGCAGGAGCCATTGACTCTTGCTACTGTCAACCAAATGCAGTGAGGAGGAAGTGGGGGCGGTGCTAAGCCACGCTCTATAGACACACGCAGCTCAGGAATGAGCACACATTGTGTGCCCCCATAGCAAGGGGTTTGTTATGGGGGCACACAAAAAAGCAGAAAGAGCCAAGACCGCTGGTGGGGGACACCAGAAGCGGATGTTCGGGGTCGCTCTGTGCAATACCATTGCAGAGAGCATGTGAGTATAACATGTTTATTTTTTAATTAAAAAAAAATTACCTTTGGCAAATCTTTAAGTAGTATTTAGCAGAAATATGCTTTAGTAAGGTGGCCAAAAGTGAAATTATCTACAGGAAAACTGATAATTTAGAGCAGTAAAACATGGAAAAGGTTACATTATTTCATGTTTTCATTAGATTAGTGCACAAAGCCCTATCGCTTTTTACTGCCCTACTATGCTTGTTAAAATAAATATAATCCTTAATTGGATAACATTTAGGGCTTGTGTACACAGATTGTGTTGACCTGCATATATTGTGCATCTAAGAAACACATCACCACCACACCAATATGCCACTAACAGACTCCTTCAAACGGCAATAGTGACAGTTGCCTTCCTTTATATGACTAACAAAAGGCTTCTAATCTTGGTATGCTGATTATAATGTTTTTAATTTATTGGCCTATAATACAAAGGTTCCATTCATTGCTTTGCCACTGCAGCACCCTCTAGCATGGCAATGTCATTGGCCATCTGGAGTGTGGCTGATTATACAGTTCCATTGATGCATCAAAGGCAGGTCAGTAGATTCATGTTTACCTCAATAGTTCAGTGTAAATTGCCGTTCTGAGGCTGCATTTCACCTGTTTTGTGTTGCATTTCTCTGGATGCAGCATGTTCTGTTGGGAATGTGCTTGCATGGCAGACAAAACAGGTTAAGTGCTGCCTTTTGCATTGGATTGCATGCATTTGAGCTGCACTGCGTTAGGTTGAAAAGCTTGCGTTTGAAAGCAATGCTCATCTTCACAAGCCCTTAGTTATGTATAATAAACATTTTACTTTGTTCAAGGTTTTTTATCCTCTTTTGCAGCCCACTGCTGCTCATCTTATCCAGCCTTTTTGTCATTTCCTGTCTATATGCACAACATAGTGGGCTGCACATCATTGCTTTGGATTGCCTTTCTGATATTCAAGATGGTGGGATATAAATACACAATGTGTGTAAGCACAGCCACTTGTAAATTTCATTATGGGAACATGTGATAATGGAGGGGCACAACTGGGAGACAGTTGTCGCCCCATAATACAAAGTGACTAAACAAGGAACCACATAGCAAAATCTCCTTCTATTGTTTAGTAAGACCTAGAGCAACTTTTGGAATTAATTAACATGTGAAAGTTAATATGAGATTTTTGTGATTGGGTTTATATATTCTTTTATGTCATGTCATTTTTTTTATTCTTGATCATGAATACGTTCAAGTAGATAAAGCAAATCCTAGCCAACGCTTTCATACATTTATTTTTCTCCAGGCCCCCAAGGAGGAGATAAATGTCTCTAGCAAGGAGGAGACAGTTAAGCAGAACAATGATGTGGAAAAATTTGAAATGCGGGAACAGAATAAAATCAAAACGGAAGCAAAGTGGAAATATAAGGTATAGTGAATGTTGGAGTACTAAAGAGAAGAAAGCTTTTTTTCTTCTTAAATAACATAAGCACATGAAAATTAAATTCATCAAGCTGGTCATACAGAAAGAAAAAAAAAAAGATCCTTATATGATCCCCCTTTACCCAACACGACACGTCTGTTATTAGGTGCTTGTCAGGTTACCCCTCCTAACAGCCTATAAATCAACTATGGTGACACCCCCCCCCCCCCCCAGGTAATTTCCTGTCTTCTTTGCTTAAATATCCATGATGAACGCAGAACTGGGCAAAAATGTCTCAACCTGTCTGCTTTTCAGATTCTAATTTCACAGTAAGTTTACACACTGTACAATTATTTCACATATTTTTGTGTCATAAAGTCTCATTACCACCTAAAATTCAGATTTTGAATATCTTTTCACTGTACTCAAGGGTGGGTTACTCAAGGTGCAACCAAAAGCCAACCTGTGTTGGGCAGCACAGTTGCTAAATTTTTAGCACTTCCATTTGGCAGCAGTAAGATCGTTGGTTTGACCAACCACGGCACCACCTGCCTGGAGTTTGCATTTTCTCACTGTGCCTGTGTGGGTTTCCTCCGGGTATTCTGGTTTCCTTCTATACTCCAAAGACATGCTGGTAGGTTAATTGGCTCCTGTCTAAAAAATTGGCTCTTGTATATGTATGTACTAATGTGAGTTAGGGACCTTAGAGTGTACACTCCTTGAGGGTTAAGGACTGATGTGAATGTACAATATATATGTAAAGCGCTGTGTAAATTGGCGGCGCTTTATAAGCACCTGTAATAAATAATAATAACAAATATATTACCCATTCAGTGAAAAGCAACAGGCCTGTTTGAATGCGCAGAAACATATACTTACCTATCCTTTCCCCCCTTTCACTTCAGTCAGAATAAAGAGCTAAAGGAAATTCCCAGGAACTCTTAAGTATGGAGGAGCATGTGACTGCTCCGGGCCAATCAGTCCAAGTAGACCTGTGTGAGCTACCTCTTAGGTAACACATACCTTATACAGGGCTTTCCTTTAACTCCCTGCACATGAACAGAGCAGTTGTGGAGCAAAAATAATATTGTAAATATATGTATGTATATATATTTGAGTCTGTTGAGGTCTGCATTAAAGTGAACCTGCTGCTTTGCCCTTCTTGAGCAAACCACTAATCCACTATTACAGTGGTCGGCAAGCCGCGGCTCGCGAGCCAAATGCGGCTCTTTACATGCTTTAATGCGGCTCTTGTGTGCCGGGCGCCCGCTCCCCTCCCTCCTCTCGGGCGGCAGGGACTCTGCAGCGTGATCCCAAAAAAAAAACAGCCAGGGCAGCGCGCTCAAATGCAATGATTGGCCAGTCTCGCTGCCACTCACATCCTGATAGCCAGTGATTGACTGTCAGGATGTGTGTAGGCGGGGCAGCGTGACAAAACTGAGAGGAGCTAGGCTTCTCTCACAGTCCGCCCTGAAGACCGGAACGGCGCGGGAACAGGGCGAGAGGAACGCGCGGAGCAAAGGTAAGTGAATTGACACAGGGGGGACTTGGCTTACTACTTGCTACTTACTTACTACTACTATATGAGGGATGAATTAATATGGGGGATGAATTACTATAGGGGGGATGAATTACTATGGGGGATGAATTACTATGGGGGATGAATTACTATAGGGGGGATGAATTACTATATGGGGGGATGAATTACTATGGGGGATGAATTACTATAGGGGGGATGAATTACTATATGGGGGATTGAATTACTATATGGGGGATGAATTACTATAGGGGGGATGAATTACTATATGGGGGATGAATTACTATATGGGGGATGAATTACTATGGGGGATGAATTACTATATGGGGGATGAATTATTGAATTACTATATGGGGGATAAATTACTATGGGGGATGAATTACTATATGGGGGATGAATTACTATATGGGGGATGAATTACTATGGGGGATGAATTACTATATGGGGGATGAATTACTATATGGGAGATTAATTACTATATGGGGGATGAATTACTATGGGGGATGAATTACTATATGGGGGATGAATTACTATATGGGGGATGAATTACTATAAAAACTTATTGAAACTAAAAACAGTGTACCATCCTATGTATTTTCAGTTTTAAAAATGTGGCTCTCAAAATAAATTTCAATCGTGGTTTTGGCGAGATTTGGCTCAGTTGAAAAAAAAGGTTGCCCACCACTGCACTATTAGTACTTACCAGTAGAGTTAAGAGTAATGATTCATCTTTAAATTATGAATACAGGGGTTAGAAACGTACTTACTCTTTTACCTATTGTGAGTCCTGCTTTTCTACCTGTTTTCTTACCATGGCACATGCACAGTGCTGAGCAGCTGATTGTACCTTTAATCACACTGTGAGTGCTTTTCTGATCAAAGACACCCATAATGATTAAACATGGGGGTAGCCTTCCAAACCAGAGTAAAGATGAGAATTTTCCATGGTAACTAATTAACAAAATAATTCTTTTATACAACCTCTGCTAAGAATGTTTGCCCTTGGTTGCGCTTGCTATGGAATCTCCATAGGAATAAATAGAAAATTAAGCAGGGAGTGTGGCTTTTGAAGCTTAGACTGAGAAAAAGGGGGGCTTCTGTCGAGGTCTGAAAGATAGGACTGGTGAATACAGAGGCTGATGCAAGTGAACAGGACATGGCTTGTCCATTGTCATCAACCTCCATACAACAGTGCCCAAGCAGAGTTCAGTGACTAAAAGCACAAAACAGTGCCAGAAGCAAGTGGCCCAAGGTGCTCTCGTAGCTACAGCATCCATAGACGCTAATAGTGGTTGCACTAGCCATCTACTACACAGGAATGAGATCTAATTTCTGGGTGGACCTACATTATAGAGCTCATCAGGTCCAGCAGCAAACACTTGTCAGACTTAAGTTGTTTATCGGTGCTTTTATTTGAACAAGATGTTAAAATGTAACTCCACCAGTACTCATTAACTGTTTCGTTGTTTAGTGCACATCATGTTCTTTTGTGCAAGAACAAGCTGTAAAATTATTTATTGTTTCCAGTGGAATTAATTAGAATTTTGATGGTAGACAGATGCTTTATGTTTAAAGTTATAGTAAGTTTTTTTGTGATATTTTGGTCCTCAGGTTTTTTTAGCCCATTAACCGTTTACTCTGATCATAGACTCTATCGGATGCCTATAACAATTGTTCAGGGAAGCACAAGCGGTACATTTACATGCACCAGTCTTATCATTTAAAGTGTGTAATTTGCATGGGAAAATCAAACATATTTGATAAGAATAGCATACCAAAACAACTGTCTAATCAAACATTTGGTGAACGGTGCATGATTTTAGACCCTGAGCACAGCATAACTTTCTTCTGCACAAATCAGTTTTATTTTAGCTGCTTCCAAAATGTGCAGATTAACTGCACATTGTCTATTGCTGACCTAACACTGTACAGTGCAGTTTTCAGCCAACACTATGCTCATCTGCTTGCTATCACACCAAGCTGTCCTTGACAGCAGCAAGCCCAACTAATGATTGGTAACCAATCATAGTGGTTCCCAATCATGTGATCACTATGTCAGCTAGGACTTAATCAAAACATGCAACCTAGAGGTTCATTCACAAAAAAAGTCTTTAGCCTACAAATGACACTGCAGACTGGAGATAGCAGTATGTCTTTGTTTAATAATGTAACTGTCAGATGCAGTTTCAGTATATAAAATTAAATAATAAAAATAAATAATAAAGTAAATAAAAATAATAAATACATTTATTTATTTCAGATACTTATATAGCACTGTCAATTTACGCAGCGTGTTACATATATATTGTACATTCACATCAGACCCTAACCCTCAAGGGGTGTACAATCTAAGGTCCCTAACTTACATTCATATATACACATACTAGGGCCAATTTAGACAGGAGCCAATTAACCTACCAGCATGTCTTTGGAGTGTGGGATGAAACCAGAGGAAAAACCACGCAGGCACAGGGAGAACATGCAAACTCCAGGCATGTGGTGCCGTGGTTGGGATTTGAACCAGCAACCCTAGTACTACCAGGCAGAAATGCTAACCATTTATCCACTGTGCTGCCAATAAATACATTTGAATTTTTTTAAAACCGTGTACCAAACAAAAGCCTTATGCGTCTTTTAAAACAAAGGTAAAAGTGATTTAGGTAAGCAGATTAGTCATAGAGTTCAATGTAAGTTAATCAACCCACCCTTACACTACCAAATTTGGCCTGGACAGCTAGGCTTCATAGACCCCTGGTCAAAAAAGGGCTGAAGTCAGCCATACATGGATGGAAATTGAAATTTTGATCCATGTATGGGCACTGTGGTTGTACAGAAATCGATTTACCAATTGACTTTTGTACAACCACTCTGTCAAATTTTCCCTGCTCTGTCAGCACCCCAGGCTATAGCCCGCAACACTGATCAGTATATTCTGATGGTGGCAAAGTCTCTTCGCTGTCAGAATTCAATAGCTTAGAGGTGGTTGAACAAAAAAAACAGGCTCATCTGTGGGCTGCCTTACTCCCTGTATTGGCTGCATAAAGTGTAGTTTTCTTCTGATTTACAGATTTGATGTCATGGCCTAGTACCTCTGTTTTCCATCTGTAGATATGGTAGCTGCAGTGGAAGAATGAGTCTCCCTATGGGAAAAGCAGGACAAGATGTCATGGCCTCATTTCTTAAAAAATTAATCCTGAACGGCCTGCCTTAGGAAACAGTAAAGCAAACGTAGGGCTGGAACAGCCCAGATAAGGCTTAGCACTGAGGACTGCTTTTTTAATGCCTCAGGCAACACAATGGAGCTGAAGACTTTGGTGAAACAGATATCACATTTCAGATTTACAAGGGGTTTTATCTAAAATACTCAGTTCAGTAATGTTGGTTAGTCACATGAATTAAGCATGAATAGTCTATGACATAGCATTACAGTCAAACCAGTAATTTTACATCTCTTCAACATTGAATCAGTATTGTGGAGAAATTATATGTAATTATTACCAGTGAGAATAGGTTTTCTATTATACTGTCATTGCTAGGAGATCCTGGCTGAGCTAAAAGGAAATGAACAAAATGAAACGTTAGTCGCTAAAGAGTCCTCATTAAAGCAAACCTGCCGCATAAAAACATACTTAAGCTGGGCGCCAGAGGTGCAGTCTTTTACCCATTTTTATGTACATTAAATATAAGTTATGGACTCTCTTCTGTAAAGTTGGAGTACTGACACAGTGTAAAAAAAAATCATTTGTTCATTCCCTACTAGTCTAGAAACAAATGAAGCTAAACAGCAATTAGATCAGCTTGAATACATTAACAGCAAGTTGAAGTAACCTAAAGTGGAAGAAAAGCCCAACTCAGGCAGTCCATAGATGATGCGATTTTCTTTCTTGGGGTCACAGGGAGAACACATTGATTATTGCTACTGGCTATAGCCACTGGCAATGATCAAATGGTAAAAATCCAACATGCTGGTTGTACCCAAGTTGATCGATAGATGGACTTGGGTACAACCAGCCTGCACATGTCCCTGCTGAACCAGCCGAGATTCAAACCATCTTGGCCAGCTTTAGACTATTCTTAAAAATATCATCAGCATCAGTAAACTTGACTGTACCTTTGTGACAAATTTGTTTAGCCAACCTAATACCTACCTGTTTCTGCATACAAAAAGACAAAACAGAGGGAGCACCGGCCTTGTGCATTACCTTTAAAAATGTATTTATTGTATAAAAAATGGTAATATACTCTGATTAGCTCTGAGGAAGAGGCAAGGCCTCGAAATGCGTCAGCCAGTTGGAGGTCTATTAATCCCATTACAGATATCATCCAGTGTGATTGGACCTTGCTGTACTTCATAAGATGTGTCTTTGACATTTTATCCTTTGTGAGCATTGTGGCAGTACGGTATCCTGCCACGGTGGAAATCATGATGGAGACCCAGGATTCTCAACCATACAGGTTGAGGGGCTCCAGGCAGATCTCATAATGCAGAGGAAACTGGTTTATCAGTTTCCTCTTTGGTTTGTAAAGCCTGTTTTGGGACCTGTAGCCTGGAGATTTCTAAGAGATTTGGGAGGGATGAAATCTCCAATCCTGGGCCCATATTTTGGGAGCAGCCAGTGCGCTGATTGCACAGGTGTGTGCAGGCAGGCCTTTTTGTGGAGGCCAGGCCATGATTCTGAGCTCCACCCCGGCAGATAGGAGTCAGGAGGGCTCCACCCCGGCAGATAGGAGTCAGGAGGGCTCCACCCCGGCAGATAGGAGTCAGGAGGGCTCCACCCCGGCAGACAGGAGGTCTCTGCCTTGGAGTCAGGTGGAAGCCAGACTAGCTGTATGCTAGTGCCATATTTTGGGAAGAGTCTGCAGGAGGCAGACTTAAAACTGCGTACAAGCCAGGAGGCTGAATACTGTTAATTTGCTTGATGGTGGATACCCCTGCGTGGGAAGCATTTGTGTTTCTGGAACTTTTTCTTTTTAATAAAATTGGGCAAAAAGGCCCTTAACAAAGCGAGTTGCTGTGTGCTTTAACAAGAAGAGCTCTACCATTTGAAGTGAGTTCCCACAGCATATTATCATTTTTTGTACAATAAATACATTTTTAAAGGTAATTCACAAGGCCGGTGCACCCTCTGTTTGTATGCAGTTCATTTGGATTCCCCTGGTCCGTTGAGGGCAGCTAGGCGTGCATCTTCTAGGCAGCCCATGTGTGGTTCTAGTTACTGTGGAACCTATCGTCCAGCATAGGAGTAGAAGCTTTTGCTACTTGACCTACCCGTATCTACCTATTGTTTTTGAAGAGCATATAAGGCTTTTATTTTGTGCACTGTTTTGAATAATTTTCTACTAAGGCTTTTTTTTTCCACTAATGCTCACAAATGGACAAAAATGCTTAAATATATGCACTTCATTTCTGGTAATTTTTTTCACTTTCTGTCTTTTTTCTTCGCCATTTGCATTTCACTTTTAACACCTATAACATACTGGTGTCAGCTGTCATTGCACCTTTCTCTGTGCAAGGCACAATGACTGCCAAGCCAGAAAGGTTTGTTTTGTAAACAAAGTTGTGTTCACCATGATGGGCTTCCACTTTGATCAGATGACTGGGAGACAATCAGCTTGATTATTAATTATTATGGTTAGACCAATGCTGTTAGTGACTGGCACTCTTTTAGACACCTAGTGCCAACATAGGCCTTAGATTAATATACCAGTGTAAGTTCAGCTTAATGCTGGTTACCCCAGACCTGGCAAATCTAAACAAAAATTCAATACTGAAATATTTATAGCAGCTGGAAACTGGAGGGACTTCTGAAATGCACATTTAAAAATATCAAATTGACATTATCTGATATTATGTAGATTTACCTACATAATACGTTATACGTCTGCAGTTTATGGATGCCTGGCAAGTAGTTCAGGCCCCATACTATAATACATTATATTGCCAAAAGTATTGAGACGTCTGCCTTTACACGCACATGAACTTTAATGGCATCCCAGTCTTAGTCCGTAGGGTTCAATATTGAGTTGGCCCACCCTTTGCAGATATAACAGCATCAACTCTTCTGGGAAGGCTGTCCACAAGGTTTAGGAGTGTGTCTATGGGAATGTTTGATCATTCTTCCAGAAGTGCATTTGTAGGGTTCGGTCCTAATGTCAGAAGGGAAGGCCTGGCTCGCAGACTCTGCTCTAATTCATCCCAAAGGTATTCTATCAGGTTGAGGTCAGGACTCTGTGCAGGCCAGTCAAGTTCCTCCACCCCAAACACGCTCGGCCATGTCTTTGTGGTCCTTGTTTTGTGCACTGGTGTTCAGTCATGTTGGAAAAGGAAGGGGCCATCCCCAAACTGTTCCCACAAAGTTGGGAGCATTAAATTGTTCCCTTCTCTAGAACTGGGGGGCCAGGCCTATCCCCTGAAAAAAAAACCCACACCATAATCCCTTCTCCACCAAACTTTACACTTGGCACAATGCAGTCAAGCAAGTACCATTTTCTTGGCAACCGGCAAACCCAGACATATCCATTGCCAGACAGAAAATATGTCTCCACTGCTCTAGAGTTCAGTTGCGGCATGCTTTACACCACTGCACCCAATGCTATGCATTGCACTTGGTGACGTAAGGCTTGGATGAAGCTTCTTGGCCATGGAAACCCATTCCATGAAGCTCTCTATGCACTGTTGTTGTGATAATCTGAAGGCCACTCGAAGTTTGGAAGTCTTTAGCTATTGACCCTGCAGACAGTTGGTGACTTCTGCGCACTGTGCGCTTCAACATGCGCAGACCTAGCCCTGTCATTTTACGTGGCCTACCACTTTGTGGCTGAGTTGCTGTTGTTTCCAGTTGCTTCCACTTTGTTATAACACCATTAACAGCTTACCGTGGAATATTTAGTAGCAAGGAAATTTCACAGATGGACTTATTGCACAGATAGTAATCTTTCACGGTACCGCGCTTGAATTCACTGAGCCCCTGAGAGCGACCTATTCTTTCACATATGTTTGTAGAAGCAGTCTGCATGCCTAGGTGCTTCATTTCATACACCTGTGTCCATGGAGGTGATTGGAACACCTGAATCCAATGATATGGAGGGGCGTCCCAATACTTTTGGCAATATAGTGTATGTTGTCTATAGCCAATCCTTGGACATAACAGGCAATGGATAAACCTCCTGTCAGGCTTTTCTATGTCTGTGTCCCTTTAGGAATTTTTCCCTTCACTTTCTGTTTCAGAGAAACAACAGGAAATGAGAGGAAGTCTCTACAATTGTCACAACACAGGTATTTTTACCCTTTATTTCTATGCCCAAGACAACAGTAGGATGATTTCCTATTACTTTCTCTCCTGATACCAATGGTCACCAGGACAAACAGGATTAATTTACCCATCCGGGACACAAACAACATTAAGCGCTTAACAGGATTTTTAACCATTCTCAACAATATCCAGAAAAAAGGTTTAGAGATGCTGTAAGGTTACATTCATTCTGGCGTTGTAGGCCTGTTCGAATTGTAGCTGCAGGAGTCAGAGATTCCTGCTGTGGCTAGGTGCCTTTTGCGGCACCAGCAACTGCAGCTATTCTCGGCTCTTCACAACCAGCTATTACCTGCAGTGATCGCTGACGGGCGCACTTTGTGTGCGTCCAGCAGCGATCACCACAGATAATTGCTGACGGTGCGGACAGTAGCAATCAGCTGCAGCCACCGGCAACCCGTCATCATAATGGCAGCCGCACCTAGCCGCTCAGAGCTGCAGCAGGGATCTTGTATTGCACCACCCTAAATCGCCAGTGTGAATGTAGCCTTAAGCTAAGTGTGCAATGATGTGGAAGTGTTTAAACATCCTCAAGACCAGCTACCTTTTTGAAAATAGAACCATGTAATTGATTGTTTGAGGATTATAGAGGTTATTTGGTTTTACATGGGCACTGGTGGTTTAATCATAGTAGTTTGTGTCTCCTCCATCTACCCGAAAGCCTTGAAAATGGAATTTTACTCTCTCGCTGGTTAAATATCCTGCCATTTTGACAATCCATTGGGGAATGTGACACTGTCATTTGGCTTTGTAATAGCTACATGATTTGATGTTGAAATCCTGCTGGGTTGTCTCTTGCCACCAAAGTCCCTAAATGATACGAGAAGTTAGGTGTCATAGCAGATGATCCCTGCTGTTTTGAATAAGGCCACAAACGACAAGCCATTGAGTTCAATACTACTCAGTTGAAAAAGAACAGTTAGGGAAAAAGTACATTATATTCTTCCACTGTTATACGAACAGCCCACCCAATTGCCGCTATATTAAAAAATGTCTTTGTTAGAAACAAGAATTCTGTTTAAGTGCTTCTAATGTGTTTAAGCATCGCTCAGTAAATGAGAAAGTTAGCTAGAATTTATAGGCACAATAACATGTAGACGTATTGGAATTATTGACTTGCTCCTTTGATTTCTTGTTTTTCAGAACAGCAAGCCTGATTCTCTACTAAAAATGGAAGAGGAGCATAAATTGCCAAAAAATCCATTTTCAGCAATTAAAGACAGTAAATTCAAGTTTTCTTTCTCTGGCAAGAAGCTGTTCAGGTACACAAAGATGCAGTAATGTTATGGGTAGTGCTGAGCTAATAATAATGATTTAAATATTCCCATTTCAGTAGGAATGGGCTTGTGTATCTGTACATTTCATTGGGGTGGTAAAGTTATTGTTGTGCCTGAAGAATGTTTACTTTTGTGGCATTTATTGGACAATGAACATTGATTATACAGTATTATAAAGCAGCTGTAGATTAGAAAATAATATCCACTCGAAGGACGCCAAATTGATTAGTTTATATTTATGGAGTTTTTTAACTTCTGTTTGATCAGATGCTGTTCTTTGTTTACAAGGGTCATTTCAAAATGTTATTGCATACATGTCATTGCCTCTACATGAATCTCCTTTTATCCCGATGGCTGATTTGTCACGTGACAGTGACAAGGACGTTCAGGGACCTGCAGCTTACTCCTGTATCTATGGAGTCCAGTAATTGGCTCATTTCTGAAAGTTGAACTCTAGTCAAACTTGTTTTTGGATCGAGTATTGGAGATTAGTGGTGGGCAGTTTGAAAGGGACAGAGGGCCTCAAGTGGGGCCCCCAATACTCCCAAAGGGTCACACAGTTGCAGTGTTTTTGTGTTTTGAGGTGCATTGCATCATGTTTGTCATCTCATTAAAAATAAAATAAATCTCATTACCTGAAATTTCCAGCCCTTCTGCATTTTTTGCACAGAAGGTGCGATATTTCATCTACATGCTCGTCAAGCCATGGTTGGGCATCACCAGCTGTGTGAATTGGAGCATTATCGTCTTGGTAAATGACGCTGTCTTCAGTAAACAATGTCATCGTGCATCGTGAGGTGCGCATGGTCGCCCAAAATTTGTACATATTCACTGATAGTGACTCTACATTTCAAGGTGATAATGGGGCTGCAAAACAGCAAGATATGGCTCCCATACCATGATTGTGTTGCCACCCGCTTTCCATTGGCACAAAACAGTCCTGGTTGTAAGCTTGGGTTGGTGTATGCCACACGTAAACACATCTGGAGGCTGGGAACAGTGTGTAACTCGATTAATCAGACCATATTACAGACTTCCACTGATTGTTATTCCACGATTTATGGGTGTTGCACCACTCTCTCCTCTTTTGAGCATTATATTGGTCACTAGTGGTTTGGCGGTTACAGCTTGTATGTGAATGTTTTGCTTATGGAGATCCCTCTGCACAGTTTTTGTGGTCACAGGCTTTGGAAGACTGTGATTGAGCTCTGCAGTCACTTTTGCAACAGCAGTTTTCTTATTCTGAGTCACAGTCCTGTCCTTTTGTCTCTTTCGGTCAGTTGCCTCGCTTATGCTTATCAGACGATACTTTCCTGGAAACTGGATATGCCATCATAACCTTTGATACTGTACCTCGTGACACCTCAAATAAATTAGCAACTTAAGTCACAGATGCACCAGCTAAGCGGACACCAACAATTTGCTCTCTTTGAAGCTCAGTAAGCTCTGACATGATTTTGTCATACTAGCAGAGCATGCAGTGAATAAGGAAAGTGAGGCTACCCACCTGTTAGCTAGGTGTCTCATCACACAGCGGAAGCAAACGAATGTTACATCAATTCCGCTCTGAACACTAAACATGTCGTCACTTTCACACCTCAAATCATGTAGTGTTTCCAAATTTGTCTTCCAACCCTTGTATATTACCTATATTAGGTGTCCTCCGGGCCATAAATTGAACCACAGGGGACAATATATCCCTTAAATCTGAATTTAGTAATTATCTACCGTACTATTATCTTTTTAATGTCTTCAAATTTCAAACTATAGCATATTGTGAAGATCATAGACCTAAAATGTTCAATCTCCTATATCCTCTCTTTCTCAACATTTTTGTTTTTTAAGAAGCTCTCATGGGCTATTCGGTGTTTTGGTTTATGCCCTTCTGATAAGAGACCAATCGTAGCCCCACTCTAGGAATCTGCCAACACCTATTTAAATCCTTTTTGATGGACTATATATTCTTAGCGCTCATAAACTGGCTATTATGAGTGGCATTGGTTTCAGTGGTTGAAGCAGGAATACTCTAGCCTCAGTGCAATGGACTGCATTAACATCCCTACTATTGGTGTTGGTGGCTACAATAATAACCTCCAGTACTGCTAAACCTCACCCCCAACATTGGTGGTCAGTGGCAGTATCATTTAAGCCCATGCCTCTCACATTGGAGGTTAGCAGTAGTAATTTTTACCCCACCCCACCCCCAAATTGGTTGTCAATATCTGTATTACTTAAAGTGGAACTAAAGTCCGGATACTTCCAGCACCTCTTCTTTAATGGTCCAGTGTCCCTGTCCAGCGCTGGCATCTGCTGCTTGGATTCTTCCAGTGCAGGGAGTACATTCCAAAAAAGACAGCCAACAGGCATGTAGGTGTGTTTTATTGCAGGAGACAATGGATGTCTGTCCTGCAATAAAGAGCTTGTCTGATTGTAGTCTTTAAATCGGGGCGTATAATTCCACTTTAACCAACTGCATTGGTGGTCAGTGGCATTAATATTTAAACCCCCAACATTTTTGGTCAGTGGGAGTAATTTTTAAAGCCCCCCCCCCCCAACTGGGTATTCTGTGGCTGTAAAATGTAACCCCCCTAGTGGTCAGTGGTTGCTTACCTGATTAAAAATCCCTGCACCACTCTCTCTCTCCTCTGGCCAAGACAATACAGACTACAGACCGGTACCAGAAACAGCTTGGAATTTTTTCAGCAAAAGTAATTATTTTACAACCTCTATGATGAGCATTCAGGAACCATCTACCATCAAGGACAGAAGAGAACCTGTGATGTTACGTGACCAGACAGAAAGTAAAAGAATAGTACAAATCGTTGAAAGTTTATTTAAGATAAATCAATTTTTATTTAATACAACAGGTGCTGAGAGCCCAATACACATACAGTGAGGAACAGAAGTATTTGAACATTCTGCGATTTTGCAAGTTCTCCCACTTAGAAATCATGGAGGGGTCTAAAATTCCACTCTGAGAGACAGAATTAAAAAAAAATTCAGGAAATCACATTGTATGATTTTTTAAAGTATTTATCTGTCTTGCACTGCTGAACATAAGTATTTGAACACCTAATAAACAGCAAGAATTCTGGCTCTCAAAGACCTGCTACTGTGCCTTTAAAAAGTCCACCTCTACTCCACTCATTAATCTAATTTAGTAGCACCTGTCTGAGCTCTTTAAAGACACCTGTCCACCCCACAGTCAGTCAGACGCCAACTACTACCATTGGCAAGACCAAAGAACTGTAAAAAGACACCAGAGACAAAATTGTGGACCCCACAAGGCTGGAAAGGGCTACGGGGCAATTGCCAAGCAGCTTGGTGAAAATAGATCAACTGTTGGAGCAATTGTTAGAAAATGGAAGAGGCTAAAGACGACTGTCAGTCTCCCTCGGACTGGGCTCCATGCAAGATCTCACCTCGTGGGGTATCACTGATGATAAGAAAGGTGAGGAATCAGCCCAGAACTACAAGGAAGGAGCAGGTCAATGACATGAAGAGAGCTGGGACCGCAGTTTCAAAGGTCACTGTCGGTAGAACACTATGCTGTCATGGTTTCAAATCATGAATTGTACGGAAGGTTCCCCTGCTCAAGTCATCACATGTCCAGGCCCGTCTGAAGTTTGCCAATGACCATCTGGATGATCCAGAGGAGGCATGGGAGAAAGTCATGTGGTCAGATGAGACCAAAGTAGAACTTTTTGGTCTAAACTTCACTCATCGTGTTTGGAGGAAAAAGAAGGATGAGTTGCATCCCAAGAACACCATCCCTACTGTGAAGCATGGGGGTGGTAACATCATGCTTTGGGGGTGCTTTTCTGCAAAGGGGACAGGACAACTGCACTGTGTTAAGGAGAGGATGAATGGGGCCATTTATTGTGAGATTTTGAGCAACAACCTCCTTCCCTCAGTCAGAGCATTTTAGATGGGTCGTGGCTGGTCTTCCAACATGACAACGACCCGAAGCACACAGCCGGGATAACCGAGGAGTGGCTCTGTAAGAAGCATATCAAGGTTCTGTTGCCTAGCCAGTCTCTAGACCTAAATCCAATAGAACATCTTTGGAGGGAGCTGAGACTCCATGTTGCTCAGCGACAGCCCCAAAACCTGACAGATCTAGAGGAGATCTGTGTGGAGGAGTGGGCCAAAATCCCTGTTGCAGTGTGTGCAAACCTGGTCAAGAACTACAGGAACATTTGACCTCTGTAATTGCAAACAAGGGCTTCTGTACCAAATATTAACACTGATTTTCTCAGGTGTTCAAATACTTATGTTCAGCAGTGCAACACAAATAAATTCTTTAAAAATCATACAATGTGATTTCCTGAATTTTTTTTCTAATTCTGTCTCTCAGAGTGGGACTGCACCTACAATGTGAATTTCAGACCCCTCCATGATTTCTAAGTGGGAGAACTTGCAAAATCGCAGGGTGTTCAAATACTTCTGTTCCTCGCTATGTACATGTGCATGTACGATCACTATATAGATGTAACAACATTATTGTTATTTTTATGATATGCTTTGCCCCATATGATGTTTTTTTGAGTCTTTTTTTTTATGCCCTCTATGTGTAGTACATCTCTTAGCTGCTTCTTTTCACCTTGTTTATTCAATAAAAATCAATTATTCTTATAGTCTTTCAACGATTTGTACTGCTCTTGTACCTTAAGGGAGAAGTATGGTCAAAGCTCTTTTGGCCATACTTTCCTGTGGGTCACAGGAGTGTACTTAGTCCGGCACTCCTGTGACCCAGATTCAGCTGACAGCAGGATGTCATCATAGAGCCAGTCCAGACTCTGCAGGGATCCCGACAATAATGTCCAGATCTGCCCTTAGCCAGCCTCTTCTGCCCTGGTACAGAGAGTGAGGGAAGGGCAGAGAGTGGTGATTGACAGT